AGCACCACATAAGCAAAAAGAAAAAAGCCGGAAGTGGCGCTGTGGCTCAAGTGGTAGAGCGCTAGCCTTGAGCTGAAGAGCTGAGGGACAGTGCCTAGGCACAGAGTTCAGGTCCCACAACCTGAAATTAGTATAAAGCCATAGACATAGTTCTGCTGCACATTTACTTTACTGTGCCTTCATGGCAAGTTCTGGAAAACTGACTGTGGTATGTCATCATACTAAATCACACACTTGCCCTGCAATAATGGAACCAAAAGTACCTAGCCCTACCCTATTCCTGAACTATCCAAGCCCCCTGGGAACATCCCCCACTGGGGCCTGGGACCCCCAACACACATACTCTATGCCTTTTCCTTCCCTGGAAAATAGAAGGAAGCAAGACAGTGACTCATTCTCCACATAACAGGACAAACCATGTGGTTTTTTCCAAGACAACAGCCCCGCTATAGCCAGGAAAGAGTGCTGCCATGGTACAAGTGCTTTGTGCAAAGTTTATTTTAGTTGGAAAACGGTGCTGTCTAGAGATCCCTTTAAAAACATCCTCTTTTGTTTTAGAAATTATGCTCATTTTGCTTTTATAAGTTTCCATAAAGGATAAGGAAGAAAGCTGTCAAGCAGGGCCCAAAATAAGATCTAAAAGAGAATTGTAATTGGATGTCACCATGGGCTGCGATGTAAGCTCAAAGCAAGGGAATGAGGTGGTTGACAGGAATGCGCACATGCACACCCAGACGGACCCACTCCACAGATAACAGCCTTGTGGCGTCCACTGATGCTTAGTAAAGAACCATCATGGGCCAGCCTGCCATGACCAGCCAGACCAACTGCCATGGTCACAAGGGAGCAGCACAGCCAGTGCTGGGTTGTGGATAGCGCTGGTTTCAATAAGGAAGAAAAGATTGACAAAACCCTTTTCCCTCTCAATGTCTTTTGACTTCGCTTTTGGTCAAGTTAAAAGAATCTATGTATCTTCTTGCCCCAAGTTTCCCTTGGGCAAACTCTAAGGCAGATATCTTAGTGCTGGAAACATGGCCAACAGGCCCTCAATTACAGGTCACTCAAAGGACTTCAGGGACAGGGCCAAGAGGATGCTGTTTCCTCTTGAGATGATAACCTATATGATGCGGTGATGGTCGCGAGGGTCTGTGGATACATTAAAACCCAGAATCCTACACTTGAACTGCGTGAGCTGTGAGGTATGGGAATATAGGAACAGCCCGTATTGCTCTTGCAATATCCAGAGCCTCTCTGGAGATGCCAAGGCTGTGAGGTCCTGGGTCCCTGCTTATCTGTAAGCCGCAGCAAATCTACAAGTGACACTCCCAGATAGAAAATAAGAAACTGTCTATGCATGATCTGCCAAAACTAGCAAAATGTGCTGCAGCAGTTCTATTCTTGCTGCCCCTGAGGTGGGATGTCAGAGAAAAGGAGCATCCCCCAGTCCCGAAGCCCCTGATCTACCTGTTCTCTTCTTCCAGCTCATCCTTCCTATTCATCATGGCCACGATGGCTTGGCGCAGTTCACCTGAAGGGAGAAAGCAAAGTCAACGTCAGTCAGTAGGTCTTACCTGTCATACTGTTTCCTCACCTGTGGACCGTGCGTCCCAAAGGGTTGCTTCTCTAGACAAGTTTCCTATTCCTGTGCAGCCTGAGATCCAATGGACTTGGCCATCCCCTTTCATCCACCGCAACACAGAAAGGCATGGGGCAAAAAAAATTATGGGATTCCATCTCAGGCAGTCCAGTCTCCCCTCACTCTGAAACTACCATTTCCCTCCATAACTCCAGCATCCTTTAGGCTTCTGCATAGGCTGACCTTCCTTGGACACCTCTGTTCACTGGCTGTGGATGTGACAGTCGTGCACCTGCCCCGCCTTACTCCTGTCCCAACTCACACTCTGTTCCCACATGCATCCTGTCCCCACCCAGTCTACCCATGGCCAACAAAACTAGGACGGTAACTGGCTCCAATCAGGCTGATTACATAGGGTCTTGCAGAAGCTATGGGTGGGCTGATGTCCAACTGGAGAGAGAGAAAAAGGTGGAAACACATGCGCCTGGCCCCAGAACGCTTGTTCCAAGTCCCTCCCTCAGGGTCTATTGCAGAAGGCCAAACCCACCACAACCACCACCATAATAAACACTCCCTTAGTGGGCGCCAGACACTTGTCTATGGCTCTTTTCCCACCAGGCACAGAGGCCTGGTCAGGGATAAAGGCAAATGCTGGCACAGGACAAAAGCGTACCAACTCAAGACACCAAAAAAAAAAAAAAGCCCACAAAAGGGTGAGACTTGGCAAAGCAGCAGGTGTCTCAGACACCACCCTTGGGCCACGAGCCACGCCCTGCCATCTCACACTGGGCAGAACCACAGAAAAAAACAAGCTCTGCAGAGACCCTGCACGGGTTCCTTGGAACGTTGCCGGCTACCCAAAGGAGTCAAGATGGCTGAGCGAGCTGAGGGCACCTGCAGAAAGGAGGCAAGTTTCCCTCCACACACCCTGTGGTCTCAAAACAAAGCATCAGCACAAAAAGCCCCTTGCCTCCCATGCCTCGGCAACCCAATGGATCCTCCTCCCTTGCATTCTGCATCCTCGGAGCTGAACAACCCCAGGTGTCCCTGAAGTCCCCCTGCCTGTATCTGTGTGTCTATGAAAACATGATGTCCCTTGAGCCACCGAAGTCTGTGGATCCCTGGAGAGCAGGGGTAACAAAGCCGGGCACAGCACCTTACTGCGGTATACCCTCCACACCTATGGAATGACTCAAGGGTCAGAAGAGCAAGTGAGTAAAGGAATAAGTGATGGACTGTCACCCACTGCTAAAACCCGCACCTCAGCTCCACTTGGGGAAGCACAATGGAATGAATGGGCTGGGCGGAAATGCTGATTGCCTTTAATGATAAGTTCAAGGCCTCCCCGGGAACGCTAACCACCGGGTTCATGGCTGTAATTTCCTGCCCCACTGACAGGACTCGGGCCTGAACTGTGTTTTTGAGATGCATATAGGGAGTTAGCAGGAAGGGTGACAAATTCCCACACGTCATCACCATGACCTAACACTAGGAGGCCTGTGAACCCAGGCCCCCTCCTTCCTCCCAGGGAAGGATCCTTGTTTTCAAAAGAGATCAGAAGAGGCCAGGAACTGATAGCTCAAGCCTGTAACCCATTATTCAAGAGGCTGAAATCTGAGGGTTGCAGTTTGAAGCCAGCTCAGGCAGCAAAGTTCATGAGACTTTTATCTGCTGTTAAGCAGCAAAAAACCGGGAAGTGGCACTGTGGCTCAAGCCATGGAGTGCTAGCCTTGAGCAAAAAAGCTATGGGACAGCACCAAAGGCCCTGAGTTCAAACCCCAGGACCAGCCCCAAGAAATAAAAAAAAAAGTAAAAAAGATCAACAGAGCACAAACCGCCTCTCAACCCCCAATGATCCAGAGAAGAACACAGGCCTACGAGCAAGGAGGCTGGCTACTAATCTAAATGATTACAGGCCTCAGAAGTTAATATATAAAGTACTGAAACTGTGATATGAGGAGGGTGAGAGACACCCCGGCCTCAGCCATCACAGCGGGGAACTGCCCTAAGCCTCATTATATTCCCCTTATAATTAAAAAGGGGACCCAGCGCTACAATGACTAGACCTGGCACATCTGGATGCATGGACACGTATGGGTATGCGCACGCCCACCTAATACGCAGATCTGTGTGATAATTCTTGGGCTTTATGCAGCATCTGAAGACCTCAAAGGGCCTTTCCACACACTCCCCTGGGGCCCATATGTGGTTATATTTAAAGAGACAGCTCACAGGGCTCTCACGTACAGAAATAAAAGATGTTCTCCTATGAGTATATACTTAACCTACATCATCAGTTTTCAAACTTAACATCCTGCTTTTTATATCTTTGTCTGCCTACCCACTCCCTTCCCTTTTATCTCCAAGACAAAGGATAAACTACGCTGAACTTTGAAATAGAACTTTCTAAGTCACTCTCAGGCCCATTCTAGCTTTTTGTTCCATTCTCCTTGCTTGCCTCCTTCCCCCCTCACCCTACCCATGGATTCTACTTTTTGACTTGTGTTGACAGGCAATAAAACCTGCCCCCAAGTGCCTCCCTGTGCTTCCTGCACCACGATGCAAAAGGCACCTAGCATAAGCAGTCTCATTCTCCTCAGAGGCGACACGAGTAACACGAATGAGAAATCAAGAGGCCAGAAGGGCAACCTTGCCCCAGCTCAGAACCTGTGTACAGGAAGTGGCAGAGCAAGGACCGCCTCCTGCCTGCCCCCTGCCCCCAGCGGTGCTTTAGGATGCAGCCACTAAACAGCAAGGTGCTTTGGGTGTTTGCCCCTACTTGAGCCTCAAAGAGCCCATAAGAAGACTAGAGTGGCTGACCTCTTCAGCTCAGAGGTGAGACTCCTCCCCAGGAGGAGGCGAGTGCCCTGCCCCACCCCTGCCAGCAGATGAGCAGAGGTGGCGCTGTCTGCTCCCATCCCCTCCATCTACTCCTGGACAGCAAGCCAAGTGCGGCCAGCAGCCGTGCCCACCCCCCACCCCCCCACGACTGAAGCCGCAGTGTACCGTGACTCCTGAGGCTGCAAGGGCAGTGACGGGCATCTGTTGTGATGGGCCTCGCGCGCGGCGGTGTGGTGAGGTTAACCGATGGCAGAAGGACTAATTGCTTGTGAAATTCTCATAAATAATTAGGACATAGAGCTGCTCTGCTGGCTTCCACCCTCGGGCTGTGGTATCACACGTATGGGTAATTCTCAAATGGACTCACACATTATCTGCTATTAATTGGAAACACACAGCTACGGAGAGTGCACGGGCAGAGTCCACACCCAGGTGCATGCTCCACACCTTGACACTCTCACAAATAACCAGAACAGCCTTTGATGGGCCACAAGCCCGTGTGGTCAAGACGCACTGGAGCAGGCAAACGGGACCCCTCAAATGGAGACTACAAATGATACCAGAGTAGTGGTGACCAGAAACAAGGGAAGCCATTGACTCTCCTGACACAGAGGCCCCCACACTGTCCTGCTCCGTCAGTGCTGCGGAATGCCATCAAGGACGCCATCCTGCTGCTCTGATGCCTGGGCACAAAGGCAAAGCCTCACATGGCTCCTCCCTGAGCAGCACCCTGGAGCTGAGCTAGGACAGCGTGGTAGAGCAGGACTGTACTCAGACGCTGTACATGGAAGTGGAGCTGTGACTCCACAGGTAGAGACCAGAGCTGAACAAAAAGCTAAGGAGCTATGCCCAGGCCTTGTGTTCCAGCCCTAGTATCACACACACACACAAAAGGAAGAGGAGGAGGAAAAGCAGCCAAACGAGGCGAAGCTGAGCAGCCGGTGGCTTTCGACACTCAGAGAGTTCAGCATGTTCATTCCTAGTTCACCTTCCTTCCAGGCTGCTGTAACTGAAAAGCCAAACTTTACTTCTTACAGGTACACAGGAGACAGGAGGTCTGCTACCTTTTGAAGGCCACCTCCCCATAGATGTCGCCTTCTTACTGTGTCCCCCTTCGCTCATGGCAATCACCCCAAGTAGCCTCACAACCCTTCAGGACTCTTTGACCCCCACACACACTTCCCTCAGACCTCTGCCACCAGGAGCGCCTCTCCCAACCCAAGGAGAGCCTGGCCCTTGGGTGTGAGTCCCCTCTGCCACTAGAGCTGCGGGGGTGCCAAAACCCCTGGAGATGGCAATCTGCAATGGATACATCCACCAGAAAATCTCCACGGCTCAGCGCTGACTTTTCCTTTTGTCCTTATTTTTCTAGCAACTCTTAATACATTCCCAAGACTCATTCCAGGGCTGTCCATCAGTCATTGGCCTTAAAAAAATTATATATAAGGCCGGGCGCTGGTGGCTCACGCCTGTAATCCTAGCTACTCAGGAGGCTGAGATCTGAGGATCGCGGTTCAAAGCCAGCCTGGGCAGGAGAGACCGTGAGACTCCTATCTCCAATAAACCAATAAACCAATAAACTTCAGCTCGCCTTGAGCTGAAGAGCTGAGGGACAGCGCCCAGGCCCAGAGTTCAAGCCCCACAACCGACAAAAAAAAAAAAAATTGTATATATATATATATATGTATATATGTATATATATACATATATATATAAGTTCATGGAAAATTCATTTCATAGCTTCCTCAGTACCAATCCCCCCGCCCTCTCTCGTCAGTCATGGGGTTTGAACTCTGGGCCTGGACGCTGTCCCTCAGCTCTTCAGCTCAAGGTAAGTGCTCTACCACTTGAGCCACAGCGCCACTTCCGGTTTTCTAATGATTAATTGGAGATAAGAGTCTCATGGACTTTCTTGCCCAGGCTGGTTTTGAACCTTGATCTTCAGATCTCAGCTTCCTGAGTAGTTAAGATGACAGGCATGAGCCACTGGCGCCCGGCAACCAATCTCTCTTAAAATCAGCTTATTCTTCCTTTTCTTTATTCTCCTACCTTACACCACACCCCTTTTTTTTTCTTGTTGTTTTGAGACAGGGTTTTACTAGATAGCCCAA